AGCAGCAGGCTTGGACTTGGAAACATATAGGACTTTGGGGCTTTTCTGGACAACAACATTTGTAGCATGATACAAGTCTGGTTTTGTGGACAGCATAATGTCAATGGTTTGAAGATTGAGTCAAATGGAAAAGTTCAAACAAGACAAAGCTTAGGATTTGTAACTTGTAATTTTTAACTTTAAAAATACAGCCTTGTTATTTACTTGAAAGCTTATAATAATTTGAATTGTCTTGAGTTGTGGTGAAAAGATGTCATGAAGAAATGAAATTAACATGTATAGAAAATACTTAGAAATTTTTTCCAAGTCTTGCAAAGTTTTATTTTTGGTTTTCTTGATTTTTGATGATCAAATTTCATATTTTGAATGTCTTGATGAAATGTGATTTTTGAAACTCAAATTTGACCAACAAGTCAAAGTTTGACTTTTCAGTATACAATTGACTTTTTATCGGTTGACCAAATTTCATCTATCAAGCCACTGATCTCGGGAGATGAATTGAAATATGATATTAAGTCAAAATGATGTACTTGAACCCTTGAGATCATGTTTCGAACCAATAAGTCATGTACTAGGTCAAAAGTCAAAGATTGATCATTCTCAATCAAAACCATAATTTTGACTATTTTGCCCTTTTGACGATCTGAACAATTTTCTTGAAGAATTGTGATAAAATCTTGATCAAATGATACATATGACTTTAAAATGTTGATATTGGTAAAAAATCTTGAAGTTTGACTGTAGGTTGACCATAATTGATTTTTTTCCGATATAGTTGATTTTAGGTCATTTAATCAATTGATTGAGCAACTTTGGTAATCCAAGACTTAAAACTTGACAGGAGAAATCTTGAGGGTCCATAATGATCCATGGAATTAATTTGAAACATTAGAAGTCCAACTGTCCTTGTGCAAACTCAAACCCTAATTTGAGGCATCAGCGTTGAGGAGATGGCTTGACCTAGTCAATACTTGTGCAAACTTGAATCGTTGAAGATCTTTGTGAGAAGCAACCTGAGAAAAGAGAGGGAAAATTTTGGGGTACAACACCAACATCAACACAACAACATAAACACAATAGTATCTCAACATCTTAGAAACAACGACACAACAACATCATAGTCACATAACAAGTAGTTCATCATTTACACAACACATTAATTCTGACACATGAATCAAATACATTTATCAATACAATAAGCATGTGAATAATTCTAATATTTCATCAATCATTATCATATCATAGCCTCGAGGGTTAGCTTCATAATGCTTCAAACGACATATCATTTGGACCTACAGATTAAAAGTAATGATCAAAATATCTGGTGAACCAATCAATTATTGTCGCAGACCAATCTATTGGTCCAGGACACAGTTACGTAATTTTCAAAATAGAAGAGGGAATTAATCTATTGTTGTGCAGACCAATCTATTGATCCATGATGACAATCGATTGGATTAGGCCTCTGTACCAATTTTTTTCACTTTTTCAAAACAACCAATCAATTGATATTCATGATCAATTTATTTGTTCAAGCCACTGTTTGTGTTCTCAACTATTTTCAAGGGAACCAATCTATTGGTCTCCCTATGCCAATTGATTGGTCTAGGCCAATTTTCCAAAAATCTGCAATTTTACTGCTACGCAAATTTTCTTCCAGTTATTCAACTTAAAACACCAAACATACATCATTCTAACTATCATAATTTTATTAATTCTTTTCAGTATTTAAACACTTAAATTCATATCCTAACTCATCCAATTCATATCAATTCTCCATGGATTCAATTGATTCAAGAACACATCATCAACATATCAACACACACAATTATAATTCACATAATGGCATGTAAAACATGATCATCATCACATTCTTTATCAACATTTATCGTCAACTATTTCATAAGTTTCATCGTCAATCAAGAGAAAATAAAACCCTATTCTACCCTCCCCTCATGCCAATCACAATTGTAAACCATTACCCACACTTACATTATATTTTCTCTAACAAGGATTCCTTCAAGCTCTAACAATGGTGCCCTTCTAAGACTCTTCTTCTTTACCCTAGCCTCTTTCTCCTTTTCTCCAAAAAAATTCCGTACAATTGAGAATTGATTCTTCTTACTTCTCTCTTTTCCTAATAAACCCCTTTTCACCAGGCTTTTCCACTTCTATCCTCACTTACTCCTCTAACTCTCTATTATATGTCCTCATTATTCTCTCAAATGCCAACTTTACCCCTTATTTTTCTATTATCCTATTTTAATTAAATAATTCACAAAAATCATTTTTATTCTAATTATTAAATAATTCTAATAATTTTAAATTATTCCACTCATCACTAGTTACTCTCCACACCCCTCTACCTCATGGCCACACACCCTAACCATACCAGATAGTTTAATTATTAATATTTATCAATCAAATAAATCACACAAAATTCATAAGAATTCTAAATAAATGGTATAATCTAAATTGGGATGTTACAACTTGAACTTGATTAATGTTTTTGAAGAGTGATTCAACTTTGGACAGAGCAACAATGTGGTTAATGGGTAAAATGGATCACTATCAATTTTGAATCAACATGGAGATTTGTTTAAGCAATTCCTAAAAAACTCAAGTGATCAATGAGAACACTTTTTTTCTTTCGAAATTGTTGACTTTTAGTCAAAAAAGTCATCAGTCAACAAGTGACTAGTCAACACGCAACATGTTGACTTGTTCAACAGTCAATGGTTGACTAGGTCAATTAGTTGAGTGGTTAACAACTTGGTTGGTCTATGGGCGGTTTGAGTTCGTTTGAAGATCAGATTTGGATATCTGATCCATTATGGTTTTAAGATATTATAAATATGATTATCTATCTCTTTTATAAGTTAAGAGAAGAAGGCAGATGAAAATATTCGTAATCCTACTGAGAGAAACTTAGAGAGTCAATGGTAGAAAATCATAAGATTGTATTCTTGGAATTTGGTAGACCCTTGGAGATATCTAAGGGAAACTCAGAGAGACAATGGCCAAAATTTATTGGAATGTATTCTTGGAGAGTTTATGTAATTCATATAGAGAGAATTTGAAAAATTAAAAACACTTGAGTAGAAAATATGGTTTGTTCTTGGGATTTTGGGAGACTATTTTCTTGTAACTAATTTGTAATCTCTTATATTATTTTTTAGAAGTATAATGAATAAGAAAGACGTTGTCTCCTACAGAGTAGTTCAGTTTGATCGAATTGGGTAAATGAGTTCATTGTGTACTTGTATTTTATCTTTCTCTTGCTTGTTGTGAATTTGCTTACACTTGACAAATACTTTTTTCTTGAGATCATTTATTTCGGTTTTCATTGTTATTTTTCTCTCACGTCAATATTCTTGACATAATACAAAATTAATATTATTGTTAAATTTTCACAGCGGAAAAATATTAATGTGGTTGAACCTTTCAATTACCCATTAGTTAGTTACATTTCAAACTGTAATAATACAAGTCTAAGAAGATCAACTTAAAAAACAAAGATTGGATTGAACACGTAAGAAACTAATGTTAAAATATTTGGATTGACAGTGAACATAATTGATTCTAGCATAATTAAGTTTGATAGAATTGATTTTAACATAACTGAATTTAGTGTAATTGATTTATGTTTGAATACATTTAAATAAAAGTGAGTTGAACAATAAATTTAAGTGTAAAAATCACTCATAATCAATTCGAAAGATAGAAGTTACAAATTTTAACTTCAAGTGAAATCAATTTTGGAGGCAAAATCAATTCTAACTTTAATAAAACAAACACCTCAAAATCACACAGAATCAATTCTACATTTCTAAAATTGATTATGGATCTTCTAAAAGTCAATCCAAACATGCTATAAGAAAACCCCATTTGCATAACCTAACACAAAGTCATCGTCGACATATAAACATTAATACGAGGGCAGAGATTTGATGTCTTTAAGCCGTCAAAGTCATCGTCGACATATGATTACGATTTTATACACACATTCTTACCTTGAAGCTTTGAGGTTACTTGAAAAATAAAGTTCATTTAGGTGAACCTAGCCTCGTTAAAGCTTTCACTACTCTAGAGAATTTACCGAAGTGAAGATATTTGACTTACAAAACTCGCAAGAAGCGCAGCTGAGATAGGAAATCAGGCATAGCCCCAGTCAAACTGTTATTTGACAAATCCCTAAAATTTGAACAAACTGTTTTTACTCAACTTTAACAACTGACTTCATTTTTGTGATAATTTATATAGCTTGCTACTTGAATATCATAGATCGAAGGACTTACAAATATTCTATTGACTTTAAATTGGATATGGCAAGAGCTATAGTTCCAATTAAGCCGCTAGAAGTTAAGTTCCTTAATATCATCCAAGATTAGACGATAAAGGTGAAGTTAAAACTATTACATGATTCTATTCATTTTAATCTTCATACGGGTTCTCTTCTTAGTCAAATTCTTTCACCTTTATTTATTTTTACTATCAAAAGCTTCTTCCCAATTGAGCTATCTCTATTGTGTCTCTACTTTTCTTTGCCATTATTTATTTTGAAACTGTTGCCATTAGATGCCTATTTTTAATCACTATACTTATCAAGGAAGCTTGTTGATGTTGATTAAGTCAAGTTTTTTCATTACATTAAATTAAAAGTTAATTTTTTTTAAGACTAACTTATTCAATTTTGGACCAGCATATGACAATTGGCAACTCCAAATAAATCGTCTATTAACTATGCATTCGATAAGATTTGTTCAAAAGAGTGTTCTTATTAATTTGGAATTCAACCATCAACTACTCAAACCTTACGGCAACTAAAATAACTACAATTATCTAATTTTATATTCATTAGTCCTTAGTCTTTGCCAAACTAATATTTATTTATATATATATATATATATATTGACTGCATTTAGATATGATCATTCAGTAACAAAAATCTATCTCACATTCATATTTTTCAATAGTTCTCTCTTGTATTATTTGTTGCAATGGAAACAAATTCTCTGAAGTTTATTTTGATGACAATTTTCATCTTTGCCATGGCTCTTTCTCCAACTTTACCATGTGATGCTGCACGCGATTTAGTAGCAGGTAAAGCACATTATGTCCCGTCTTGAAAATTTGAAATTGATCATGCCTCGTTATATGATTTTTTTCCTATTATAATTAACTAACACATGAAGTTTATTTTGCTGTACAGTTAATAAGGTGATATGTATTCAGTGTGTGTGTTGCACTCCACCACCACCAGGAACTTGCTGCAAGAAGTGTTGTGCTTCTTCTTCTCCACCTCAAACTCAGACCATTGGACAATCTCCATAATAAAGAAGTCACATGCCTTACTATAATATATAATATTTGTGTAAGAATCATTCTCATAATGTTACTACCATTATCAAGGACTGAATTTCATATAAGAGATTGGACCTTTAAAGTTATAATAAATACACTGATCTTTTTTTATCAACAACCTCCTCCTTATTGTGGCTCACATATTTGAAAATTCAAAATTTCTTTTAGAAATTTTTAGAGATGCATTGTCGGACGCATCTTAAATCTTCTTAGCCTTTTTTTTGTCAAAAATTGATTCTGAGATGCATCTGCGAATATTTCTAGAGTGAATTTAGAGATACATCTTCGAAAACTTTATTTCAAATATGTATTTCCGAAAACTTTGTTGCATGCATCTTGGGCAAAAACATTGTCTAAGTTGTATTTTTTCTAAATCCAAAATCATTTTAATTCGACTAACAGTGCCATAATTTGATTCAAACATTAATAAACATGAACATCATAGAATAAGGTAATGCATTAATTAAAAAAACATCACATAATATTACAAACATAATTCTAAAAGTATGGAAAATAATACTAAAATGTCCGAAAATACAAAAAAAAAAAAAAACATAACCTGTTGCGTATGCCTAATCCTAACCCCCTAACTCCTCCTCTGTCGCCAATAACCCAAGGCATTCCGTGCCTCAATAAGAATGTAACTTGTTAGGGCAACCACATCATTGTCACCTCTCTCAAATAGTCCAGACTCTATGTCCTCATACAAAATTCACATGATATTTTGACAGATCGGCAACACATCAACGACATGGTCATCTCTGACCTGCTCATTCTCTAGGATCTCCTTAAGAGCAGGCCTAAGTGGACGTCCAGTAGTGTTTGGTGTCATGATATGGTGTAACACAATATAGAACCAAGTTATGTAACCGTCCTCATAAGACCACTGACTTGTGCCTGACATACTCTGATATTCCTCTGGTACCAAGTAACTCTTGTAATCAACTTGTATGTCGTCAAGATGTCAGTGGATGATGTTTTTAAGAGCAACCTCAAAGGGAGATCTCAGGATGATCTACACAAATTCAAACTGACGCATGTATCGCTCAGGCAGATGTATGCACATCAGATTCCTCCTATATACCAGTCATCCGGAGTAATATGAAATGAGGTCGAACGTGTAACACCCCACTTTCCAATAATAATAATTATAATAAAATATATAGAATAATACATCAGAGTCCACAAATGGGATGTCACATCATTCAAATAAACTCATAAAGTCTCAAATCATTTTATTACTTCATTTCTCATAAGAGAATTATTTACACAACAGAAATATAAAATATTCATTTCCATAGCACTACTGCTTAAATAACATCATTCTCCACAAAACATATGGTTCAACATAAATATAAAGGTAAGACACGTAACGAATAAAACAACGTAAGACATAGCAAATTCACAAATCTCGTGTTACGTATCAGAGCGACTTCTAAGACTCGGCCAAACAACTCATTCCAAGCACTACTCAAGTACTTGATTATCTGTACTCCCAGAGGAGCACAAACACAACAACATAAAAGGGATGAGAATTACATTCAAAAAATATACGGTGAATGTCACATGCTAAGGAGTAGTATTTCACACAATTCACATAATTCACAAAATGCAGATTTCACATAATACTTCGTAACACATTCTTCACTCATATAACACAACATCAAATCAAGATAGTGCAATGCAATGCAACCGACAACAACTAAATGCATATGGTACTAACATTGCATAATCTCTCTCCATAATGCCAAATAGGGAAACAACATGGCATAAGCCCTCAACATAACACCATTACAGGCCAACAACAGGGCATAAGCCCTCACCAATGTATACATGCAACACTAACATGCAACAACATAAATATACAACCACATGGCATAAGCTCACAACATCTTGCCAATAAAGGCCACCAACAGAGCATAAGCCCTCACCATACATGCAACAATAGCAATAGCAAATAGTAACAACATACTTGCATATATCCAACAATGTAACATCATCGTATCATACTTCATCAAACATTACAACAATATTTCAACAACATAATGTCATAGTATCACAATCCACTACGCATATTATCAATCCATCATGGACATCCAACAACAACAATATTACAAAGCATAACATCGTAGTTTTACAACATAGTATCATAGCATAATAACAACTAAGAATATTAGCAATTCCTCATGTAAATTCGACAATAACAACACTACAACAACATAACATCATGGCATCACAACAACTAAACATGTTATCAATTTATCATGTATATTCGATGGCAACAACATTTACAACAACATAACATCCTAAGAAATTCCTTCATACATCATTCGTACAACAACCACATGTTAGGTCACCCCACTCAACGTCAGCATCATACAAAATTTCCACTAAGTTCTACGTTTCAACAAAATTCTCATTATTACAAACCTTCATATATTCGTCTAAGTCCTACTAATCATTACGCACCAAAAGAAACTACACTGCACGCGAAAATGGGAATGAAATCGTGAAAACGAAAATTTCGGAACATCAGCTTACCCGTACGCGTAGAGCTTCTTCCCCGCCCATCTCATACGTGTATCATACGCGTTGGATCCATCTTCCAGCCTCATACATGTACCATACACGTACCACCAGAGGTGATTTCCCTCTCAACTCACTCAGACAACTCCCATACACGTATGACTCCATGTATACACGTACGATACTTCCATATACGCGTACCACACGCGTACCAGGAGAGTGTTGTGCTGGTTTTGGGGAAAGGACACATATCATATGCACACGTCCTCTAGGACGTCCCCTCATACGCATACCATACGTGTACGACTAGCCAGCATGTTCCAGAAACCTGTTATTGCACCAAAATGACTTATGTTCGTTTTTCACATTTTTAGTCTCCCAAATTGGACCTAAAATAGTCTTTTTACACAGAAATACATATAAACTTAATCCAATTCATCAATCAATTATTCTACGACACTTTTCTACATCAAAATCACTTATTTATCAACTATCTAGATCTATAATTTCAGATTAGGGTTTCTCATGAAACAACACGACAATGACAACAATTATCAACAATTACCAACAACCACACCATGGACAACACATCAATTAACAATCATATAGAGACAACATAAATCAAGCAAGAATAAAGTCATATACATCAATTATTTACAAACCTAAAGAGGGAAAGGAACCCTCAATACCCTCTCATGTTATAATCACCATTTAGAGAACTCATTCTCCCCCTTACCTTAGTTTGGAGCTTTGATCATTCAACAATAGTGGAATTATCTCTTGTCCTAGTTCTTCCTTCTCTTCTCTTCTTTGTTTCTATGTGACATCAGTTTCTCCTAAAGACTTCTACCACCCTCTATCTAATTATTCCTTATTATATCCCAATAATAATAATAATAATTGTTCTAGACTGCCCCAATGACTAGAATTGATCCAATCCGCTTCTATCCTTGGCACGACCCAACAACAGTGATCCAACATTCTGGTTGACCACACCCCTGAGCACACGACCCAGTCAGCAGTTGTCTCCCGTCAGCCCGACAGAAGTCGAGCAAGCAACCAGGAAACGTCCAGAATGGTCGTTTTCCTGTGATCTGCCTCCTCCTCGGATCCAACGGTTAGTTACGGGCACACCTGCCCGTTTTGACTGAGTCCTGGCAGTTACCTATTTTTGCGGACCCGCATAACTAGGCCTAAAAATAGGAACTAATGACTACGCGTCGGGGGAACATTATATAAACCCTCACACATGTGAGGGCCAGGTATCCAATATTGAATATCCAAATTCATCTCTAAAACCCTAATACTTTGCTTGTATCTCTTTTCTCCAACACTTACTTGATCGTCAGAGTGCCTTGCAGGTACAACCCCCTTTTCTCCTCAACTTTCCAGCCCATCAAAGATCATCCTCAGACCAGCTTGCAGGTTCTGATCAACCGGTAAGATCAATAATAATAATAATATTATTAGTGGAAAATACACCATTTAACCAACAATAATATTTTTATTAATAATATTGGGATATTTCATCTTTACCAGAATTATCATTATTATAATATTATTCAAAGCTTACTCCAATTATCAAATTATACTAAGTTCTCACACCTCCTTAGTCAAGCCAACATAGTTCTATAAATCCAATCATCAAATGACTAAATATTTAAATGGGGCATTACAACTCTCCCCTACTTAGAATATTTTCGTCCTCGAAAATTACCCGATGCGACACACTCCAAACACAACTCTCGCATCCTACTTTCTAATTCGCACGTCATATTTGGTAGTGTCTTGAATACCACCCATCAACATTCAATATCGTTAAACATTTTAATCCAACAGCAACACTGTCACAAGGACATCGTCTCAACTATAATACCGACAATATTGACACATAGCATTAGTACTTTGATGCTACGATTCATCGTCCAGACACTTAAATTAATACATTTATTGACTGAAAACAATGAGACTAACACATAAACTCTTCACTTATCACCTCCCTTCTGGAATTTCCAATGGTTTTGCATCATTCCCGCATGTTTCTGATGTTCAACCCTTGACTCTTACAATCACTCACGTGCAACAAACTGCATTATATCGCATTTCAACTGTGTTACTCTGATTATCTACTTTAAAGTCACTGTCCTCACTATTATTTTTATCAACTACTAGGCCTACAATTTCACATCCAGTTCCTGACTCTCTTTAATATTCACCAGAAATCACTGCTCACCTCTTATATCCTCAACCTCCCACTCTGAGACGTTAGGTCGTATACAACTCAAGTCTCTTAACTGATCAATAAATCCCAACTATTTCATATCCACTTTTCTATTAGGCTCTCACGATATGGTGAACGACTACCCTCTCGGTAAAATGTTAGTCAGTTTACACACCACCAAGCTGGTAAGACAAGTGCATCCCATCCAACACGATCCCGTCTA